GGGTCCAAACTTGGCTAGGGGCCAAATTAAAATAAAACTGACACCTGTCCTGTTTCAATTACATGTATCAGTTTAAGAAACCACCTGATACATGTATGTGTCAAGTTGCAAAATTTATGCTCATAAATTTATGCTTACCTGTCCCAAACCAAATTATAGGAGGAAGTTTTGTACTTCCAAAAAGAAAAAAATAATCAATAAGAAAGAAATTTAGCTGAAAAAAAAGCTATTCAAAAGACATCAAATACACGCGCAATTGTGCATAAATGTATTTACACATGTACATACATGTCGATTCAAACCTCTTTTGCTAACTAGTCATCAACTCCAACCATCCGAGTCCAAACTGGGGAAATAACGGCAATTCTGACAATAAACTGCCAACAATGTGCCCCTCAACTCATTGTGTGTAATTCAACAAATGCTGAAAGACATTTCAATGATCCGCACAATGCACTCTGTTAATGTGCAATTTCTGTAAAAGACCAACTCCGTTCCCACGGAAGCAAACTATCGACCATTCCGCAACCCCGTTCTTGTGACTTCCCTTGATCTTTTTACAGAACAAAGCATGGCGGGGGGAAAAGAACAAAGCATGCCGGTGGGAAAAACAACAACAGACGATTCTGTTAAAATACTTTACTTTACTTATCTTTACACAGTGATCTTGAGAGATTGCACTTTATGTTTTTTCAATGGTTAACTTCCTTGGCATGTTAAAGGAACCATAACAGAGTACCAGATGCAAGAGTTCATACCAAAGCACCTTTCATTTCTTAAAGATGCCTTCATGAATGCTCGTTCTGCTTGCCCGCAACATTATTTTTTATGTAAGAGCTGAGTGTGAGAATCGACCGAACAAAGCTCTGGGAGTCCGTTTCGGACTTACCGGTAAATGTGCATCGTACTTGTGAGAAGCATATATGTTTTCATATTTACATATTAAGGACAGGACAGGGTGTTCCATTTCATTCCTTTGGTGAGAGATTACCCGTAAGGCAAACCGAGGGTAAAAATAACCTGAAAACATGTAAGTTTCAAACTCAGTATAGGAAGGGTTGGTAGCCCTGTGTTTTGTGCTGTGAAGCTTCAAGCTACCATATACATGAATGGGTCATTCTATAAATACAGGGTCCAAAAGTGTGACATTTTTGTGTCCCTGTTTTGTCTTTTATACCTGCGTAATTTGACATGCAAATATCACTAAAATTGATTTCAAATTATTTTCTATTTGTTTGGCAGGTAATTTGCATTAATTCATCACTCTCTCTAAATAGAGAATAGAAAGTGTTGTGAACTTTAACAAAATCATACGTCAGATGTGACAGCGACACGAAAAGAATTGAACCCCTAAATCTTATAGAATGATTCATTATACAAAGCGTCATGGTGGTGGTATTTCTTCAGTGACACAGCTCATACAATGCACCACACAACTCTGTTCCAACTTTATGATACCTGTAATGACACATTATGATGTAAGGGATTCTACAAGTTGAAAATACTCATAGTCCAGGACATTTTAGGCATTTGCCTGTAACTTTCAGTCCCCCAAATTCTCTGGACTGAATTAGCCTCCAGATGATCAAAGCAAACGGATAACATCATCCATCCTGGGTGCAACTTCATGCAGACTCTAAGCAAGAAATGGGTCTAAGCAAAGTTTTCAATATAGCCAAAATTGGCTTGAAGGACCTGCTTTTTGATGAGAAATTATTTTCTGTCCTTAGCAGAAATCAGGCCTACTTGTACCGGTAGTTCTTTTCAGGACTGAGAAAACTGCTACCGTATGAGCCATCTGGGGAATTTACAAACATAAACTACAGGTACAGGTCAGTGTGGACAAAATAAACAAAGAGGTATGAAAGAAAAAAGTGGAGGTACAAGGCTTAAGTGCAAACAAACATACTTACAATGAGATTTCCATTGATAGGTCGGCTCAAATTCTGTAATGGAAGGGAAAAAAGGTATATGTAAATGCCTCACTGATATTAAAAACCGTGGCATTTGTTGTTCGATCTTTAATAATCTCCGGTAGTAACTTAAAAGCCCTTTTCTGTTTCAATTCCTTAAAGATCATCCAACCACAGGATTTTAAATAGCTAATGTTGGACCAAGGGTCTGACCACTACTTGTAATTATTATTACTGGTACATTCATGTAGGCCAGTGCCTTAACCCTTGGAGTGTGTGGAAAATCCAAAGGTGCCGGAAGGTTGAGGTCTGTTAGGAACAATGTTACGTGACAGAATTGAACTCGTTTCCAGCAGAGTGGAAGACTGTGCAGGATTCAAGAAGGCTCCATTTTGGAATGCCTGGGGATTTCTTTGTTTCTTGTGATAGCTTTGAGAAAATCAGACCTCTTGGTTCAAAGCAGGGACCAGGAGCAAAGGACTAGTTCTGAAACCCCCAGTTCACCGTGGAAGATTTTATTTTGAGAACAGGGTGACCTACTTGTATAATAAACACGGCATGTTCAAAACTAGGATGTGGCAAAAGATACATGTACAACGAGACATCCAACCAGTCGTCCCAAGTGGGAACAGCTGATGTTCCCAGATTGTTCTCACTTGGGACAGTGCGAATGCTAAATTTAAAAAAGTAGCGTTCTCAGTGGGATTTTCCTAACTGCGACAATCTGAAGTGTTTCCAATTTGAATTTGCTATGATTCATCTGCAGCAAGGACTGAAAAAGAATGCCGAAAAGAGTTCCATAACACATGGAAGCCACTTGACACCCTGTGCGCAAAACCTATGAGACTGGCCTGAAAAATTCGGTTTTCTGTGAATACCTCGACAATTTTTCCTGGTAATGTGAGGAGTCATTATTAATGACTTTCTCCAGTTATTATTGTTAAGATTTCAGCATATCCCCAAACGTTATCGTTAAGAACTTTGAACTTTTTAGGTCATGTTATGGCTAAAAAATAAATAAATAAATACAGGAAACTTAGTGACGTCCGTATATGAAATTCTTCCCACAATATCCTTAATTTCTTGCAGTAAAGTAGCTCAATGAAAAGACTGGTCATCAATATCGTTTGAAATTTGTCAAATATACTGTGTGCGCAGGGTTCAAAATTAAGGTTGTGGAAACAGGCGAAGTAAGAAAACCTGCTGATCAATACCTTCTAGACTACATGTACTTCAAGTAGGCCATTACTTTGGTGGTGCAAGCCGTACCACACTCAAGAATGCATGCATTTTTACAGAACACCACCCGACTGGTTGGATAAGTCCTTAGTGCGCACATGTCTGCGTGGCAAGCTTGGAACCAAAAGAGCTACCATCAGTAACTTTCATTCTAGTCACTAGAGTGGTCTACATGTTGGGTGCAATCGGTTGATCTGTATTATAGCTCAATCAAGGGCAAGTTCGATCAGCGACAACTTATTAATCAGTGGTCGATTTTGCCTCGTGCGTGGTACATATTTCAACTACATAAGTTACCAACCGAAATCGACCACTGGTTGACAATTTGTCACTGATCAAACTTAACCCTCACTGTACAATGTGTTGATTACTCCATCTACTAATACAGTAATTGCATTTTCTTTCCAATTCACGGCTGTGGACGACTTTTTCAAAAAACAAGGAAAATAAAGTCGGATCAACCATTGGTGCAATGCCCAACAACACCCCCAACAGAATACTTGCACATGTAGCTATAGAGTGCCAAAGTGAATATGTCACACACACTCTTGTGTATATAAAAAGCATTAGCGAGCGTACCCGCGCGTGAACCAATGCGCGCGCGTACTCCATTCGATTGTAGGGCATCTACTGGATCTAAATGACATCACACTTTGGTACTCCATAGGGAATACACTGAGTAGACATTGTGGAGATCAACAACATTACCGGCATGGGAACAACTTTTGTCCCCAAAACTCAATCTCAACTTCCCTTACCAAATAAATTGTCCCCTCCAAAGCTGTAACGACTTGGTAAACACTTTTCAAAGGGTGCAGATACAATGATTGCGCCTGGAACAACACACACCATGACATATAGACCAACCAACCTTGACGGGTGGGTCATTCAGATTTTATGTGTCACCGTGACATTTCCAATGCATAAATACGAACGCACACATCCAGCAAAACAGTAGCGTTCAGCATAGTCGAGGTGGACTCCTTGACCGTACCACGTCAGTCGTAATGTAATGAAGACTGGTGTCCAACCTAGGCTAGCGTTCAGCACAATCTCGAAACCTGCACAAATTTATTGTACTCCATAAAATCCGTTTGCTACCAGTACTCACTTACGGTACTTGGTTCCTGGTTACTTGGTTGATTAATCCTCTTCTCTAATGGGATTATCAACTCAGGAGGGGTCCAATAAATTTGCTCAGAAGTCAAGGTTAGCTGAAAAATGCCAGTCACTGCTTCGGTTGAAGTTCAACATGTTCCGACACAGGCCGGCTGAGTTATTTGTAGAAATGCGAAGAACAAAACACTCAACAAAACCTGCCATGGCCGGTCATGCTAGTGTAACTCAGTCACAGGAATAACATTAAAACCTGCATGAAAAGCAACACTTACCATCCTCCGACACCTCTGAAGACGATGGTGTTGGAGGCGCTGGCATGACCTGCGTATATTGACGATTTCTCGGGTCACTAGCACGCCTTGCCATGTTTACGTTTTCCTCTAGCAATTTCACCGTCGCTGGGTCACACAATGAAAACACTGTGGGCCTATTCTATTTCTAAACAAGTAAAAAACCACGTCTCGGATGCAGACTCTCCGGACATCACGCACGTGATGAAATCCATACATTCATGGATTCCCCGCAGTGTCGTTTCGGTTCTTGATGGAGATTTTGCAATGTTTTGGTTAGGTAAAAAGTCAAGTCCTTTCGACGACAGTGCAAGGAGGCAAAATGACAGAACCACACACAATGCAATCGAATCTTGCATGCACACGATCTTCCGGGATCGGGATCCAGCGCGGTACCCAGACGACAACTCAGATCGTTGCAGATTATCAAGGGAATTTGGGCGGCTGAGCTTTGGGTACCATACGGACAGCTGAAACCATTTATTGTCAAGCCGCCTTTACAAATGGTTCGTGCTTGATTAATTTAGCAGTAAATATTGATCTTAATGTTTTTGACAGCAAGTGGGTACATATTTTGCTTTCGCTTCTAGATCACAGTAGTATCACAGTCAATAGGTTTTTTGTTATCGGCTCACTCATGGAGGTGGTTCACCTTTCAGGCTACACTCGTCATGCTCGTGGAGAATTATCTTCTTCAACAGTTTTATTTGCCCATGGGTAACGCCCCCAGTGTGGTTGTGGCCAGCGCCTGGCTCCGGCCCCGCCCCTCCTCGGCGTTTGTCCCCAGCCTGTGCCTCACATTTTCAGACCTGCAAACCTAGCCGTAGTCTTTCCTGAGGTCAGGCATTACCAAACAATAGGATAAAAGGGTATTTAAATTAGCTTTCACTTCATTTGAAATTTTAATCTATTAATTAATTGTGTGGTAATGCCTGACCTCAGGAAGGAGTGTGGCAGGTCTGCATTTTTTAAGAGCCAATATGGTCACTCAGTGTTCGTACCACAGCTCTATGCCCTGGCACTGGCTGTCATTACAATCCAACTAGCCTGGGGGTGGAGGGGTTAATAGTTGCTTTGATTCATCCATTTAATTTTTAAAATTCTCCTTTAAGGCAGGTAGTTATACCTTTTCCATTGTGTTGGTTTTTTTTTCAACATAAAACCCCAACCCTAACAAACAAATTTGCAATATGTGTGTGGGAGGTCCCTTCACCCCTGCCCTTGCAGTGTCATGTATATGTACATGTATGGTACATGCCACTTGATCCAATCATGATCCAACTCCCCTGGGTGGGGCATTCTTGAATGGGGAGTGTATACAGGGCAAATTACTGATGAATATTCGGTCCAATTTTTTTTCCATACCACTACCCCAAGATTATAATCTCCTCTGCCAAATTGCAAAAACCTTTCCAGTATGCATTAAATATGCCATTGTTTAAGAGCAGGTAAGACTGCCTCAGTTACTTCAGCATTTAGGCTACAAAAAAAGCCCTTGGTCGAGTGCTTATAAAAATTCAGTTTTTATGTAATGGTTACAGTCTGAATGCATCACTTCATTTTGAAATCTTGCCTATGTGAATGTACCATCTCGTGCCCATGCTCTCTGGCTTTGTTTCCTCCTAACAAGTTCAACATTAATGACTGTAGTTGGTACTAAACATACTTTTGATATCTAGGTCATTAGGTCAAAACAAAATCTCAGGTTATAGGTATACGAAATGGTCAACAAGAATACTGATTCATATTTCTCCTCACAAATTTGCACTGGGCTTTCCAAAACTAATTTTAAACACTAGCTTTCACAAGAAGATATGTGTATTTTTTGTTCACAGTTCCAGTAAAAATGGCATCATCAGTCGCAACACCTGAATCACTACCCAGCAGAGGGAAGATCGGAATCATTGGAAGGTTGGCCAAGTGGTCATCAGTGTTGTGGCAGAGTCCCTCGCTAGTCCTTTCACAAATCCCGTCGCAAGACTGGCCACAAGTACGAGGGTGAACAGTGACAAAGGAATGTTTCCGTCACAGTTCATTTCAAGAATTCTGTGACTTGCGATGAACTTCCAGGGACTAGTGATGGACTCGACTTCAACACGGCTGTTCAGTCGATCAAAAGGTTATCAACTGGTTTGTCAGTGTTCAGTCTCCTCTGTGGAACAATTTCTTGTGACCATCTCCACAAAAAAGACAATTCACGCTTTAAGATCATCTTTTCTTTCATGCAGTTCAACAGTGGCATATACATGTTTTTGTTTGCAATTTGTTGCAGTCAGTACTAGATGCCAAATTGTGGTACTGTTGGAATAAGTTGAATACACGAAAAAGTGACAGATTTGCATAAATAAAGTAGTCGATGCACTGCCCATTGATTAACAGTTCAGGTGGTTAGGAGCTGGTAAATTCACACTTTCAAAAAGCTTTCAAACCCTGCTTTCAGAAGTGGTTTGTGTTTGTATGAATTTCCAGTGTTGTCAGAAGTCCTTCGGAAATGTTCATGTAATATTCTTTCGAAGTACATGTAACTTTCAATGTTTGGGGTATTTTGTCCCTTCCCGTTTTGACTTGTGCCTGAAGAAAGTATCAAGTAATTCAGATTTCCTAAAGTGTACTTTTTAAAACTTTTTTTGAACACTGTAACACTAACTTAACATGATTCCTGTTAGTAATTCAACTGTGGCCAATTCGGTGACTGCTGTTGTTTTTCATCATTTGGCCACAGCGGTCTGATTGGACGAAGCTGGACATTGATATTCATCAGTGCTGGATACAATGTCACAATATTTGATATTGAACAGTCCCAGGTGAGTATATGTACTTCCAGGTTTTCATGCTCGCAGGTGAGCCAAAAATGAAAAATTTAACCAACTGACTTGACACGCACTACGTACATGATCAGGTGTGCTGATGGGGAATGTACAGTGGGTGAACCTTACATCACAACTCTCTGGAAATGCAAGTTGAGATTTCCTCCAGCTGAGATCTTCCAACCCTTCCTCCCTATTCCAGGGTTAAAGACACATTTTTCTCAAAAGCGCAGTTTGTCATGGGCGTTAATTTTGTCTATGAATTTATTGTTTGTCATTTCACTTGAATTCCAATAACTTTTCAGCTTTCAAGTGCCTTGGTTGACATTGACAAACAGCTGGTGGAACTCCAGAAATCGGGACTGCTAAGAGGCACGCTGACCCCAGAACAACAGAAGGCACTTGTCAGCGTGACTAGTGACATGAAGGAGGCAGTCACTGGCTCCCTGCATATACAGGTTGGTAGTCTGCAACCCGTGTCGAAGATCAAGTCACAACTCTGCTTGACCATAGTTTGGCGCACATCACTGATGGATGGTTGGCCAGGTCAGGTTGTCCGATCTGGGAGCAGACCTTTGGGCATGTTTTCATCACGGATAATCCATTGCCTTGTTTTGTTATCAAGTAAGGAGGAAACCACTGACATAAAAAGAAATGTGCGAGGTGTAATGCATTGTGAGAGGCTGATTGGATATCACAAAATCCCAAGGGGTATTTGAGACAATTGTTTTACCCCATCTCATTAAGTAATTGACCAGTGGTCATAGTAAAGCTTTGCTTCGAACCAAGTGTGGAATGACTCCTTTTTAGACGGGACCGTGAAGAGGTGCAAATGCTCGGGAGATGAATTTCTTTGTGTGCTGGACAGGAATGCGTGCCTGAGAATGAAGCCTTGAAGAAGAAAGTGTTCGCCGAGATAGAGCAGTTTGCCAATGATGCGACTGTCCTCTGCAGCTCCACGTCCTGCATTGTGCCTTCAAAATTCACAGAGCATCTCAAGCGACGTAGCCAGTGCATCGTGGCTCACCCAGTAAGATTTGTTCCATGAGAAATGATAGAACAGACAACACTGACCACTGTTAAGGGGTTTTTGCATTTCTACTGCTTGAATCTTGCTGGACGTTATAGACATTTGCACTACAAAATGACATAACGTAGTGTTGCCATGCTGTAAACTGATATCTTGTGGTCAGTGCATGATATGTCAATTAATGATGAGCCAAACCATTGTTTCCTTGCACTTGTCACTTTGGGATCTTATGAACTTTTTTCTAACAGGTCAATCCACCTTACTACTGCCCTCTTGTTGAGATTGTCCCTAGTCCATGGACAGAGCAGTCTGTCATCTCGCGCACACGCACCCTATTGGAGGAGGTGGGCCAAGTACCAGTGACAGTGAAGAGGGAGGTCGATGGGTTTGCACTCAATCGACTGCAGTACGCCATCATCAACGAAGCCTGGAGGCTGGTTGCCGTAAGTACACAACGGTCTCTGCTGGTGGCACCTGAGAGAAATATTCAACCGGTGAAAATGTTAACAGCTATTGCTTGATTGACTTGTCTCATTCAAAATGATTTCATCATTACCCATATGAAATTGCTGCACTTTTGTTCCTTAGCAAGGCAATTTTCTTTCCATTACTTTGACTATTTCCTTGAAGAATGATGCACGTAGACAAATAAACCTATATTCCGAAACAGTCTGAATTTTTTTACGGTATCAGTGGATTTGAAAATATTTATTCCTTTTTGACTCAAAATAGTTAAGTGTGCGCATCAACACCAAAGACTGCTTTTTGTTTTTACCTCTTGCAGTCATGCTTGAATACATTCTATCAATTTGGGGTCCAGTTTTTTTCCCGTCCCTGTTTCATCTGGCATGCGATTTTTTAATTTATGCAACTCATTTTTTTAATTTCCAAGATTGAAAAAGTACTGCACATTACCTGCCAACAAATGAAAATAATTCAGTGATATATCTTTTGTTAAAGTATACACGTCAGGTGTAATAGGGACGGAGAAATATCAACACTGGACCCCGAATTTACATACACATGTTTTTTTGCAGGATGGGGTGATGTCACCCGAAGATGTTGACAAAGTTTTCACTGCCGGATTGGGAATGCGTTATGCATTCTGCGGACCGTTTGAAGTCATCCACCTAAATGCAGAGGGTAAGTTCCGAAAGGTTTCGCATTAATCATCTGAACAACTCTTTGGTTCATTGGTTTTTTTCGTACCCCGACAAAATTGGGTTGGTTAGTGGAGATTTACTGCATAATTTTCACTTTTGCATGTGTAAGCCGGAATCCAGACGAGTTTCTGCTTGATGAATGTAGGTAATTTCAGAAATTAGGGGTCCATTTTTTTTCATGTCCCTGTCACATCCGATTTTGTAAACAACAAAGGTGAGATGTAACATGGACACGAAAAAGTCACACTTTTGGACCCCTAATTTCTGGACTTACCCATATTCACAAGCTTCTGCTTTTTATATTTATTGTATCTTTTAAACTGGTGAACTGGTCTTTACAGTTCTTCCCATAATACTGGTTGCAGTGAAAATATGGCCACAGCCAGCACCCAAGGAAGCTCTGTTGCGGAGGAGAGATAAGATGTTACAATCCCAGATGAAACCCCGGTTGATTGTTGATCAGAGTGAAACACTTTACGGCAGAAGTGCTCAGGAAGCAGTTTTCTTCAAGAATTCTATTTTCTTTCATCCTACTCTCTCCAGGCACTGCCAGCTATCTGGAGCGTTATGGCTCCACCATAGAGCGCGTAACATCAACGTTCGGGCCATCACCGACATTCACCGGACAGGCGTACAATGCTGTTGTGAGTGATAGTAACGCACACTATCCTCTGGACAAGCTGCAGGAGATCCGTCAATGGCGCGATGCCAGGCTTGTGGCGTTGGCCAAATTAAAAAAGGACTTGGAGCCTCAAAAACCTCTACAATATCTACACTGTGCTTCAGGAAAATGATAAGCGCCATTAGACATGTGAATATTGTCATTTTGAGGATTGGTGTTTAAAGCAATGATTTCATGTCACAGTTGAAACAATTTCTGCAGCTGAAGTAATGAAAGATGAGCAGTGCTCTGATTCTTAATAAATTTGATTACCTCTATATGCCCCTATACTTTGAAACTTGATCAGCAATGGCACCCTGCAGAATATTCAGTCAAAAGTTCCATTTTAAATGTAGAATTTTCAAATTTGAATAAGTTAAATAAACGTGATTGGATATGATATATATTTTTAAATGTTTACAATTGAATCTGAATTTTCAGTTTGCACAAGTTATGCAAAAGTTATTCAAAATTAAACACAAACAATAAAGTTTTTGTTGATTTCTTTCAATATGAATATTTTTATGAATAATCAAGACATTTGATCTATATTTCTTATAAATTATATAATCCTGCCAAACCAGCTAGTGGCTCATAGAAATTAAAGTTTCCCAGGAATTACCACAGATCACACCACAAAAGTGATTATACCATGTGATTATAACTGTTTCAGTTATTACACACCAAACTCACAGAGTATTTGGCACCCTTCCCACGCTAAGGTACAAATTCTTCTCTGCAGTGACAGGTACGGTATGACTGACCAGTGGGAAAAGAGGACGACACGTGCTTACCGCAGATTTTATAGGAGTGCCAGGCTAAACTGGTATCCTCAAATAATTGTACAAACTGGCACACCTAGTAGCCGGGAACCAATTAAGGTCCAACTTAAAATCCGAATCGCGTTACAATACTGTGTTTGCAACACGTCACAATGGTTTCCCCTTTTTTTGGACACTCAAGTGGCTTGCTAGGTTACGATTCTGCGAGAAACCTTTGCTGCAAATGTGACAAGTAAAAATGGCTTGTCCTTGAAGTGCATTTGTAAGTTAACAAAAAAACACCTCTGTCACAAATAAACGACCTTTCTTTTCTGTGAGACAGTTGCGTTGGGTACATACACCCGCAGGAAAATGAAACGGTCCGGGTGGGCCGGGAAATCTGTAATTGGGTATTATGAAACTATCTGAACACTGTCTTCCCGGAGCGTAAGTCGTTGGGTGAGGCATTTTAGGAATAAAACACATTATTGTTTAGTATAGGATCTGGGCCACAGAAAAGCCCTTTGTCCTGGTACGTTTGTGCTAAAAGCTTAATTTTTACAAACAAGGTGATGGTTTGAACGCATCATTCCATTTTGTAACCTTACCTTTGTGCACGTTCTATCCAGTGCCCGTGTCTTCTGACTTTGTCCCCTCACGAGTGCAACATTTGGGAGCGAAATTGGTGCTTGAAACTGACAGCTAGGTCAATCGGTCAATACAAACTCTCAGGTTATAGGTATACTACATGGTCAGCAAGAATATGTTAATCCACATTTCACCTCACAAAGCTGCACAGGGCTTTCCAAAAATAATTTTAAACGCTAGCCTTCACACGTAGATAGGTGTATTTTCTGTTCAGTTCCAGTAAAAATGGCATCATCAGTCACAACACCTGAAGCACCACCCAGCAAAGGGAAGATCGGAATCATTAGAAGGTTGGTAAACAATGACAAAGGAATGCTTCTGTCACAGTTCATTTCAAGAATTTTGTGACTTAATGTGATGGACTTCCAGGGACTTAGTGATGGACTCCACTTTGACAATGCCATTCAATCAAAAAGTTATCAACTGGTTTGTCAGTCGACGGAACAAGCTCTTGTGACTGTCCCCACCATAAATACAATTCACCCCTTACGATCTTCAGTTCTGGCATCCAGTTACCAGTTGCACATGTTTTTGTCTGCGATTTTGTTGCAGTCAATAAATGCCAAATTGTGGTAATGTTGGATTAAGTAAAATATATAAAAACTGTTAGAGATCTGCAGTAGCCAACGCATCACCACATATTAAAATTCAAGTGGTTAGTTGGTACAAATCACACTTTTAAAGAAGAGTCAAGCTTTCAAAACCTATTTTCAGAAGTGGTTTGCGTTATTATTAATTTACAAACTTGTTCATAAGGTTATGTAAATTGTTAGAAATCTCTTGGGAAATATTCCTGTAACATTCTTCGAAACAGCTTCCATTGTTTGGGGTCCCTGAATGAATCCTTTTTGAATTGTGCCCGAAGAAAGCAAGTAATTCCAATATCCTAATGTCTACTTTTGTAACTTCTTTCTGACCACTTTACCACCATCTTTACATGAATCATGTCAGTAATTCAACTACGGCCGAATGGAAAACATATGTGCCTTGATTTTTTCTCCTTATTTTGGTCCCAGTGGTATGATTGGACGAAGCTGGACATTGATATTCATCAGTGCTGGATATAATGTCACACTATTTGACATAGAACACTCCCAAGTGAGTACATGTAGGGCCCGGCTACTCCAGAGTTTTACAGGTCAGCCAAAAATGGTGACTTTTGCACTGAAATTCTCTTTGCACACCACGTGTTCTGATAAAGACGGGCCACACACTATAAACGACCTACAACAACGAAACTCCGTGGATTTGAAAAGTTCACAGGCGTGGACGGGGGGGGTACTCTGAGACAAAAAGTACACAATGAGGAAAATATTTATAGAAAAAAAAATAAGTGCGCCAACCATTGTAACAACGTCATGTACAATGTTTCATAACTGATCCTGCTTATCTGCAAAAATGAGCGAGACATTATAAAAAATCTCTGGCCTAACCCCTTCCCACTGGAAAATTCCTGGATTCGCCCCTGGTTCAGATACTTCCAGCTGAAATCGTCCAACCCCTCCTGCCTATTTTAGGGTTACGAGACAAATTTGTCTTAAACACAAGGTCTGTCACAGGCATTGATCTTATCAATGAATTTATATTATTTTGTTTAAATTCCGTTAACATTTCAGCTTTCAAGTGCCGTGGCATACATCGAAAAATAGCTGGTGGAACTCTAGAAATCGGGACTGCTAAGAGGCACGCCGACTCCAGAAAAACAGAGGGGGCTTGTCGGTGTGACCAGTGACATGAAGGTGGCAGTCACTGGCGCCCTACACGTACAAGTAGGAAACCCCAGTGTTGAAGTTCAAGTCACAACTTTCACCATGCATGTAGTTTAATACACATCACAGTATGGATGTATGATTGGACAAATCTCGTGGACCACGTGGACCAACTGGGACCACACCTTTGGGCAAATTTTCATCACTGATTCATCACAGCCCTCCTTACTTCTGCCGATCGTCCCTAGTCGCTGGACAGAGCTGTCTGTTGTCTCACTCACGCAAGCCCTGATGGAGGAAGTGGGCCAAGAACCAGTGACGGCGAAGAGGGAGGTCGACGGGCTTGCAATGAATCGACTGCAGTACGCCACCATCAATGAAGCCTGGAGGCTGGTTGCCGCAAGTACACAACAGTCTCTGCTGGTCAAGGACCTGAGATATTGAACCAGTCAAAATATTGATAATGCTTGATCTACTTGTCCTATTCCAAAATGGTTTCATTGCTCACATGAAATTGCTGCCATTTTTGTTCCTTAGCAAGGCAATTTACCTCAATTTACACACGTTTTTTAACACTACAGATCATTCCTTGAAGAATGAAGCAAGAATGATGCATGTTGATAAGCCTGGAGTCCAAACAGTTGGCATGTTTGATGCCATCACTGGAATAGTGCACTTTGTAAACTAAGAAATATTTGGACAGAAAATAGTTGTAAAGTTAGTGGTTTTTCCACTTGCGGTCTTGCTTGTATGCATGTACACGTTTCCTGCAGGATGGGGTGATGTGACCTGAAGATGTTGACAAAGTTTGCACTAACGTATTGGGAATGCGTTACGCATTCTGCGGACCATTTGAACTCATTCACCCGAATGCAGAGGGTAAGTTACGAGAGGTTTCGCATTTATCATCTGCACAACTCTTTGGTTTTGTGTTTTTGTGTGTGTGATAAAAAATAATGTGTGGGTTCAATGTTATTGTAATAGTTCCCCATCTGTCAACAGAGACGTACTTCAAAATAACTGGATGATTTCCAGTTGGCTACCAAACCCGGAGTCCAAATGACTACTGTGGCACGTAGTTGTACGCCGTCTTGTCCATCGCCCATCCCAAGCACACGGGAATGCAAATTGATACCGGCAGTTTCTGCTTGTCGTATATTCACAAGTTTCTGTTCCCCATACATAATCTTTCAAACTGGTGAACAAGTCTTTGCTTTACAATATGTTTGCGGTGGAATTGTGGCTTCAGCCAGTACCCAAGGCCTGTAATCTTGGACAAGTTTTTATGGGAGAAGACGAGCAATGGGGGCTGAAAAGAGATTGGTAGATGTTGCTATCCCAGAAGCAACGCCAGTCGTACATTGATCCGAGTGCAATGCGATACCACAGAAATGCTCAGGAAGCAATTTTCCTCTTTAAATCTATTTTATTTTGTCTTACTACTCTCTCCAGGCACTGCCAGCTATCTGGAGCATTAGGGCTCCACTATACAGCGCGTAACGTCAACATTCGGACCGCCTCCGAAATTCACTGGTCCAGCCTACGATGCTGTCGTGAGTGATAGGCAAGTATGATTTAAACCTCTTGAAACTCGCGTTTATTCATTGCAAATAGTTAAATACGTTTGGCAACTTTTATAATGGGCAGTCTTTTGACTTGCTAGACGTAATAGCCATCGAGCCTTTCAACTCAACATCCGCAGACGTGTACAACGCCTAAAAAGTTAATAGACAGAAACATCAGTGAATTTACTTTTTCTGTTAAAAACGAGCGAGATGAGCTCTTGAATAATATCTACAAAATTTTAATCGAGTTCGAAATTTTTTAAAACGCGTATATAATAAAAAAAATAAATAAACGTCGAGTCAAACATGTATCCGGATTTGGGCAAGTACCCAGAGTTAAACTCGGTCGAACAAGCAGAGACTAAAGTCTACAGGCTCAAAAAGATCAAAGAAATCCAATCGCAGATCTTAAGAGAACGCAACACTCGCGAAGTTAGTTACAAAAAGATTAAACGACTTTTAACCGCGCTCGGTTACGTAGAGTATGACGAACAAGCGATAGGCGCAACTTCTGCAGCTATAGGAATTCCCGCAAGCTCGGAAGCCATTACCAGCCCTGTGGGTCTTGTTATGAAAAGCATTGCTATCGGCACATTTGGCGCTTAAGCGATGTTAAAATACGCCAGCCGCCGACTGTCGCACAAAACAAAAAAACACGATCAAATCCGCGTTCTTGCCGACGTCAAGCTAAACACGATCGAGGAATACGTTTCTCACGCTATAGAAGACGGCGACATATCCCAAGAAGAATTTGTACTGATTTTATCCGAGCTGAAAAAGTCTAACGAAATGAAGGAAAAGATCCGCTCAAATACGACGACAAAATTGAAAGAAAGTAAATTGACGAGTAAAGAAGAATTTGAACGAGTAAACGAAAGAACAATCGATAAACCAATTTAAAGATTCGTTGCAGTATGCAAAAACGCCGTTTAATTTCGTAGTCGCACTGGGGTCATACCTGGTTCCCTCTGACATGGACTTACGCATCGGAACGTTTGCAGGTTATAATTACAATTTACAAATTGCGACCAAAGACATGCAGACCGGTTACATACCGAGCTTAAATTCTGGTGTTATTCAAACCGTTGATTTTGACGATCAAGTAGAAGAAAGCCCAACAATTTTACCAAAACCAAACGTCAAGCCAGATCCTATTCTAAACGTTAGCTGTGTCTCAAGCTGTTAGACGTACAAAACGAAGAAAAACTGTCTTTAACTATTGGAGTCATCGCCGTCGGTGTGATAGGCTTTATGCTGTATAAAGTATTAACTTAGAAAAATAAAAAGCACCAAAAACCCTCCTCAAATTTGGCGAGGGTTTTTAATTTTTTTGGCCCAAGTTAAAACTATTGTTAATTAGCTATAAACGAAATCACGTTTTTTGTATAAAAGTCAAAATTACATAACGTACCGCTAAAAACAATTAAGGTCAACACGTGATTCGCGATCCAACCAACCGCTTTACTCGCCACGTTGAATAACCACCCTAAAATACTGCCAATTTTTTTTTCCGGCAAAGCGCCTAAAGCTTTCAACCCGAGTTTCTTCAATACGTTAGCCAAATTCCAAAATTGCCGTTTTATCCAGTCTGTCATGCTTCCTTTACTCTGTGGTTTTGGTTCAGGTGCTGGGGTCGGTTCCGGCAGCTCTCGCGGCGGCCACTATGCTACTGACGATGGTACTCACGGCTAGTGAAAAAGCCGTTAAGAGGGTTAGGGTCACAAACATACATGTACTGTTAAAGGTTTCTCTTACAGCTTTTAACTGTCATATACATATAAGTCACGATTTTAAATTCGTCTGTACTCTCCCGTGGGTTTCATTTCACTATCCTAAACGAAGCGTTTGTCACAATTGTCACATCGGGTAAACGGTTTACCTCCAGTGTGGACCCTCGTGTGTGTTAATAAATGGTTATCCCGAGAAATAACCTCTGCCATAGAAAAGTAAACGGTTTCTCTTTGGTGTGGACCCTTATTGAGGGAAACCTTCGCAACATACCTCATAAGTAACAGGAGAGTATTTTGGTGGTGTGGACTATTGTGTGTCTTTTAAGAGTAGAATTCAGCGCGAAATATTTGCCATAGATGCCACATGGAAACGTGTTCTCTTCCCTCGCCCATGGTAATTTCCGTTTGAGAGGGCTTTGCTACAAACGCCACAGGAAACTAATTTCTCATCATTGAGGGCACTCTTGTGTTGTGATGAGTTGCTTTTCTGGGAGAAAGCTCTGCCACTGATGCCACAAGTAAACATTTTCCCTTTGGTGTGGACTTTCATGTGTCATTGAAGGTTAAAATACCGTGATACTCTGCCACAACTGTCACAATAAAACTGCCACAACAAAGACAACGAAGAGGTTTCTCATTTGTGTGGATCCTTGTATGAAGTCGCAGAGTACTGCTGTTTCTACAGGTTTTGCCGCAAATGTCACAAATATACGGTTTCTCTTTTGTGTGGATCCTCATGTGTTGTGTGAGATTACTATTTTAGAAGGAAGTGGTTTCTCATCGGTGTGGATCACAATGTTGGTTCGCAATTGAGCCTCCTGTCGGAATCGTTTGCCACAACTTAGACCAGGAAACAGTTTCTCATTTGTGTGGATCCTATGTATAAAGTCGCAGAGTGCTACCATGCTTAAAGGCTTTCCCGCAAATGTGACAAGCAAATGGTATTTCTGTCATGTGTACACTCCTATGTTGACGAAGGCCAGTTAGGTATCTGAAGGCTTTGCCACAAGTACAAGCAAATGGTTCCTCTCCGGTGAGTTTCCTCGTGTGTATTCGTAAGTAACAGTTTAGTGGAAGCCACTGCCACAAATGTCACAAACGAATAGTTCTCTCCAGTGTGTATCCTCATGTGTGCTTCTAACGTAAATTTCCGTGAAAATCTACTGCCACAAATGTCACAAGGGTTTCTCTCTAGTGTGGACCCTCATGTGTGTTTGAAACGTAGATTTATGTGAAAAGTCACTGCCACAAACGTCACAAATAAAGGGTTTCTCTCCACAGTGTATCCTCATGTGTCTCCGTAGAGTACATTTCTGTGAGAAGTGACTGCCACAAATGTCACAAGTAAAGGGTTTCTCTCCAGTGTGTTTCCTCGTGTGTGTTTGTAACGTAGATTTCCGTGAAAAGCTACTGCCACAAACGTCACAAGTAAA